GACGACCTCTGCAGCCGAGTAATAAGTTATGCGGGACCAAACGGTGATCTCTCCTACAAAGAAGAACGCGGGGAAAGCACATTTTCTTTATAAATATTTCTCTAATACGTAGCGTTCCTGGGTATGACGATAAACTACATCCGCGTCCTGGGTATGATGATAAACTCCGTTCAACAGCAAGGCCTCTGATAATATGTTTTTGAAAAAATAAGGTTGCCAGCTATACGTTTTTGAAAAACTAATATTACCAGCTGTACATTTTGAAAAAATATTATTACCTGATATACGTTTTTGAAAAAATAATATTACCAGCTGTACGTTTTTGAAAAAAAGGAAAATTATTAAGTATACGTTTTTGAAAAAAAGGAAAATTACTAAGTATACGTTTTTGAAAAAAAATATATTACCAGCTATACATTTGTAGAAAAATAATATTACCAGCTATACTATTTTGTAAAAATAGGATTACTAGCGATACGTTTTTGAAAAAAATAATATTACCAGCTATATATTTTTGAGAAAATATATTAACAGAAATAGATTTTTGACAAAGCAAAAATATTAGCAGGGAAAAAATAGTTGTCGGCGTTAAATGACCCATTGAGGTGTTGATATGCCGTAAAACAAACCAAACCAAACAAACTAATTTAATACGTAGGTCAATAGACATAATATACACTGTTTAAAATCAAAATCAAAATGAGGCGTCTATTTCAAAAACTTGTCCCCCTATGACAATGTTTGTTGAGGTAATAAAAAATGTCTGAGAAAAAATAAATCTGTATTAACTGTTGGGGAGGGGAACAAATATTCGTACACATACAAATTTTTAATTTATTCTATTTCAAACTAATGAATAAACATATTTTTCATATAATTAACTGTACACAGATGTATAAGAACTAAATATGCATGGGAAATAGAAAAAAGGTTGATTTAATAGAAATAAATCCCATTTATCTATTTTAATGTGTGAAAAAACTATTCGTACAATACAAAAATACATAATATTCATTTAGTACTGTCTTGAATAGCCATTATTCACATCTACACCAATCAACGTCTTGGAGTTCTCAATTAATGATCTGCAAATTTTAGTTGGTATTTTGTTCCATTCTTCCCATATAGTCTTCAGATCTGGGATGTTTCTTGGAGCTCTCGATTTTGAAATAACCCCACGGATTCTCGACTGGGTTTAAATCTGGTGACTGACTTGGCAATTTTAGGATATATAAATTATTTTCAGCAAGCCATTTCTTCGTGGATTTTGCTTTATCTTGTTGGAAGATCCATTCAGGAAGAAGTTCAAGATTTTCAGCCAAAATCATTAAATTTGCTTCCAAGATATTTTGATATGCTGCGGCATTCGTTTTACCATCTATTACTGAAATGTTGTCAGTACCTTTTGCAGAAAACACCCCCAAACCATTACGCTGCTACCACCAAATTTTACTGTTAGAACTGTGTTCTTTTGTTTGAAGACATCACCATCTTAACTCCATATATGATTTCTAGAATTACGTCCAAACGACTCAATTTTTCATCTGTCCATAATACTCTTTCCCAATACGATTTTTCCTTATCTTTATGTTCATGAAAAATTTCAACCTGATATCTGTGTCTTTTCAACAGCAGTGGCAGTTTCCGAGGGGAGCGTGACTTTAGATTGTTCCTATGAATTTCACTGCTTATTGTCCATTTAGTGACTTAGATTCCTGATGAAAGCTAATCATACTGCAACTCTTGACGATTATCAATTGGATTTTGTTTAATTTTACACATTAATTTCCTCGAAGATCTTGAAGAAATCTTCTGTGGAGCAATTGTTCTTTGGTTTTCAGCAGTTTTGAATTTTTTATTCCTTGCAGTGACTGAACTAATGGTAGTAAATGAAATATTCACGTTGTCTGAGATTCTCTTGTAGCTTTTACCTTCTTTCCAGAGCATAACAGTTCTTTTTGCGAATTTATCAATTCTTTTCCTCTTGCCATGACGATAAACTTCTAGGAACAAATATCAATTGCAGAATTTTCTGTTTGTATTTTTAGGCTAAAAATAACTACTGATAACATTATTGAAAATTTCTGAAATATTCCATTTGAATAATTTTGAGTATTAAATCAATTTAAAGGTGTTAAATCTGTAATTTGCATTGTACGAATACTTTTTAACCTAGTAAAATCGATAAATGTGATTTATTTCTATTAAATCTCTTTTTTTGCTATGCATATTTAGTTATTATGCATCTGTGTAGAATTAATTATATGAAAAGTATGTTTATTCATTTTTTAGAATTACACTAAATTAAAAATTTTATGTGTACGAATATTTTTTTGTCGCCACTATGCGTATATATTTGTATATATATATATATATATATATATATATATATATATATATATATATATATATATAAGGAGAGAGAGAGAGCATATTAAAATCATATTTAGGTGTATGCATATATAAAAAGATCAGAAGAAGCAAATAAAGCACTATCGAATCATATGTAGTTAGTGTGCGTGCGCCACGTGGGTCATTTGAAATTATGTAGTCGGTTTACTGGCTGCTATCTTTCCGGATTAATTTTATACCGCTTATCATACCACCTAGCGGCGTTAAGAGACATCTCTTAGCATTTAAGGTGAGATAATCCAAGAATTATTCAAAATATAATTTTAATTCTACAACTCAGTCAAAAATTCTTCTCCAACTTAGAAAAAAGATCAAGAATGTAAATCTTAAGACATTTAATTATTTCAAGCTTAATTTTAATGGTAGATTTAATGGCGACCTTGTTCTTCAGTTAAGAGAAAATATGTATACTAAAAAAAACATAGTTAATATTACAGGGTAATATTAATGTCTTATCGATCTCAAACATCTCATTATAGACACTTGCAAGTACAACTGATGTATAGTATTACTCTTTTCTCCTCCGCCCAAAATGTTTTTTTTCCTTCGACGGCACATCCCTATATTTTTATTTCTGTCACCTTAAAATAGACATGTCCGGAATCTGACAGTGACAGATGCGAGCTACAAGGTAACCAAATGCTAAATATATTTTTGCAGAGAAGGTCTTTAAAATATTGATTCATTTTCATTCCGAAGTTATCCTACACTGTCTCCAATAATTTTCAACCATCTGTACAAATAAATTGAAGTTACTATTAGTGTTACCATTACAGATATTGAAACTACTGGTTATAGCCTATATAACAGGATTCAACAACATAGGCGATATCGTCAACTGGTCGGCGATTTCATCTGTTGGGCGGGCGATGAGCAACTGAACATAAAATGTTTGGCGATTAGAAAATTATGGTGGGTAATATATGATTTTGATTATTAAAAGATATTTCAACATATGCTATCCAAACAAAACATCCAAAAGGGATATGCAAATAGCCCGTATATAAAAACAGGGGCTAAATTGGAATACCTGGGTCACATTCCTACGTAAGATATAAATCTCCCCGAAAAGAACGACTATTTTGATACTTTCTATAGATTTGAGAAGGGTCATTCATATAAAATAGTTCTTCAGACGAAGTAACTTTTTTTTGGATATAAATCAGATAACGGAAGATGAATAGCAACAAGTAAATTAGTTACTAATAGTGTATATTTATAAAAAAATATAACTATGAACACACATCATTGAATTGTTCACACTTGCAGTTCTAACCATAAGCAAAAAAAATCAACCATGACCATAAAATTGAATTATAGTTTTCAATGCTAAAGTTTACTTTCGTTTGTTCTTTAATACGACAGTAGCAGTAGCGGCCGTTGCATATTCAGCGTTATTTGTTACTCGCCTTTGGTATTTTTACTACACCATAATTGAGTTTGTGAGCCAGTTAGAAACTTTTAACAAGCAATTTTGGTACGATTTTGAATATTTACTATGAAATTTGGCGGTGGAAAATGTTTCCATATGAAAGTGGAGGATAATGAAAAAAAAAATTATGTCAGAAACACTTGATAGATAAAGTTAAACTTGGCCAACTCTGAAAGGCATAAAAACGTAAAAAGAATATGGACAAAACAAACCATTTCTTATGGAAGTTAAATATTTATTCCCACATAAAAAGGGCTATAGAACTGTCTATAGTCTATACTGGCTATAGTTTGTCCTACTATTTTCCATTAGCTTGAGAGATTCATACATTTCCCACATAAGTGAATGTAATGAACTCGATTGGAATTCGAACTTGAATTCCTCAATCCGAGCAGCAATCTATTACTCGACTATGGCTTCTATGCACACACACACACACACACACACACACACATATATATATATATATATATATATATATATATATATATATATATATATATATATATATATATATATATATTAAGGAGTTAAATCAACACTTGCTAGCTTGTTTACTTCCCTTAATCATTTTCATAATCTATACAAATAAAATTAAGTGTCGATCGGTCTCTCTTTATTTACAAACAACAACACAAAATGTGTTCCTAAGCAATAACGGATTCCTCTGCTATTTCTATAGAATTTTTTAAAAAAAAGTATTAAATAAAAAAAGAAAAAAACAAAACAAAAAAACTAGTATTGACTACAACAATTTCGTGGGTAACTGATGCAATATATTGGATTTGTGATTCAAGGAGATTTGACGACATATTTATTTCATTTTATTTTTTCTCTTCTCCACCAATAAAAGTCGTAACGTTCACCTATCATCCGGTTTCATCTTCTTTCATGCTTTTTCTATTTCTTATATTTTTCACACTCATTAACTCCCTCTGTCTTAGTGCCTTGCGTGAAGTGAAGTGATTAAAATAAATAATTATAACACATTTAAATATTTTTCTAAAAGAGTTCAAATAATCTCACTGAATTGAAGCATTATTTTGCGAGATATTAAAGTACATTCTTAAAGTTCGAGATCATAAAAATATAAAAGAAAATATAAATATCTAATGAAATAATATTTATATAGGTCGGGCGTAATCCCACATCATTTTGAATCATCGATTCCCGTCCGATTACAGAAGATAAGCAACGTCGCGCCTGGTCAGTACCTGGATAGGTGACCCGCTTGGCAATACCAGGTCCTGTAATCTTGGATGTGCGGTTTGCTCGGAATTGTTAATCGGAGAGCCGAGTTACAATTGTCGGAGTGTTATTTATTTACGCGCAAATACCCTTAGGAAAGGTAGGAATCAACCTCTTTTCCTCCAGCTATGGGTTAATTCGTAAAACTTGTATCGCTAAACAATTATTATCTCCCTGCACGAAAAACATTATATCTGCAAAAAAAGTTCTCATAGTCTAAAAATATTTTATCGCTTTAAATAATCTTCAATAGGTTGAAAACGAATTAATAAAAAAAACAACTTCTTTTATATAGGTCGTTATGATACGTCTCCCTTATAGGGCCAATTCAAAACAAAGCCGAACTAAATCTAGGTTAGGTTTATAAGATCCTCAATGATGATTGAACTCACTAGCTATTGCTTGCGAGTTCACACTGCTATTACAATACGCGAATCGCTATTTTATTCATTTATTTCTTTTTTTTAATTCTACGTTTTAAAAAATGCGTAAAAAGTTTGCAATAAATTTTATCTTGCCGAGGTAAACTACACTTGTTTATTGAAATGTTTGCTTTTTCTATCACCTCATCAATTTTTAAAGATATTTTTACAACTAAAAAAATCTACCTAGTATATTTTGATAAAATAATTCTTTTAAGTCAGGTAAATGAACGAAAAAATAAATTAATTTCGCAATAAGAAAAGAACACGATGGTATTGTATATTTTTTCAGTCTTGTAAAAAAGATTGATTTCTTTTTTCCCTGAAGAATCCTGATTGATTATCATTTTTATTTTCTAGACGTTATTGAAAATTCCTTGTGGTAGCAAATACGTTTTTTAAAACTTTTCACCATTATAAGATATTCTCCTGTTCTAATATTTCTGGTCTTCAATCAGATTTTTTACGTTACTGAATCCGAAATTGTTAACCTCATCTCCCGATAAACATCTAAATAGATAAACGACAAATTCCGTCTGTCCGTCCATGTGTCAGAAACCCCTCTAAGTATGGGCCACACTTGCTCTACTTAGACATATTATACCTTTTTGGAATCAGGATGATCTCGGCATTGAAGGAGGGGTACATTTAAAAATTCAAATTTTAAAATGACTAAAAAGAATTAGTGATTTTTCAAGATTTTAATTTATATTGATTTTAAATTAGCACAAAAACTTTTTGGATTTAAGAAAAATGTTTTAAATTCAGTTTAAAATATTTCCAAAACTTTGTGAATTGAGGAAATCAGAATTAAAGTGAGAAGTTTCGTGACGTGAGCTTTTGAAGTTCCACAGAGTTAGTGATTTGAAGAACTCAATCTTGGAATTTCGGCCTAAATCGGTGTTTAGATCCATATCCGGTTTTTGGCCGGAATTGGACTTATAGCCTGAATCAGAGATAAAGTGAGGTTTTGAAGTTCCATAGAATGAGGTGAGGAATTCAAAGTTATCTTTCAAATTATCATTGTTGTTTTCTAAGTTGGACCTTAGGTTTCTTTAGCTTTGGGTCGAAGACACAGTTAACCCAGCGCAGAAGCTAGGTTAAAAGTCTGCACGTAAGTATGGCTTTTAAGCTAATTTACAATATAATAGACGATCTGTGAATACATTTCGATGATAGTGGAATAAGTTTAAAAGTGTTTAGGAATTTAATTTATAATATCAAAATGAAAGATAAACAGTAAAAAGCAGGGACTTTGCATAAGGAAATTCATAATCCATTTAAATTATTTTTATTTTAAATTACACCGTACTGCACATTTCATCACTCATTGTCTGAGCATGAAACTCGGTTACGACTAAGGCCATCCTTTTATAGGAATATATATATATATATATATATATATATATATATATATAGATAGATAGATAGATAGATACGTAAAATGAGAACGAATAGTATCCAATTCCGACTTTCGTAATAATCAATTTAAAAGAGGTCTCAATACAACACTAGACCAATATTATTTATTTTAGGATATTACATGAAAGACATTGTATCCATGTAGCGTTTTTTTTTTACATGTTTTTGATGTAATATCCTAAAATAAAGTATATATATATATATATATATATATATATATATATATACAGCGTGTCCATAAGGTTCGTGTGCACTTTAAAAATATAACTTTATTTGTATTTGTGATAGAAATAATTTGTAAAAAGGATTAGAAAGAAGTAAATCTATGTTCTTTAATGTTTTATTGAAATTTTATTTAAGTTTCCACATGTCCTCCATCATTAGCAATACAAAAAGTAATGCGATTTTGCAGTTTACGGAAAACATTTGCCAACTGACATACAGTAATGCCTGAAAACACATTAGTTATCTTAGCTATACTTAAAACTACGTACATTAAACTTTATGACATCTTTTGCATATTATTCCTATCGCAAATACAAATAAAGTTATAAACTTTTAAAGTTCACTGAATTTTATGGACTCCTGTATATATACATATATATATATATATATATATATATATATATATATATATATATATATATATATATATATATATATATATATATATATATATATATATATATATATATATATATATATATATATATATATATATATATATATATATATAAAGAGAGAGAGAGAGGAGTGAGAGAGAGAGTCCGTCAGAAATTATTATGCAATTATATAAAGCTAAATAATTTGATTATGTTTTGAAAATCTAGTCAAAATTTACACGAGTAATTTAGACGTCAAATCTAAAGCTTCAGTTAGTTTCAACATGTTGTATTAAATTTATTGGAATTATCATAGAAAAACTGTGGTCTGAAGCTATTATACAGATTATTCTAATATTAGTTGAAGGCCTCTGAAATCTAATGAAATTTTCTTTTTTGTCCATAATATACGTTGAAACATTTGTAATGGAAAGAATCTAACAAATGCTGAAAAACAGAAAATAACAACGTTACTAATGAGTAAAAATATGTCCACATTGGAGGTATTAAATGATCTTCGCAGAGATAAGCGAATGATAAAGAGGTCTGTTGAAAAAATATAATCATGTTGAGAACCTGAAACAGAGGAAAATGTTTTAAGAATTTGTCTCATTAAGGAGAATGTAAACTAAAGCGAGGTATAGCGGAAAAAATCATTTTTGGCTAAGGCTCAGATCTTTGAAGAGACTCGAATTGAGGAATTCAAGAAGAAAAATGGTTTAGAATACGTCACAAATTGTGATCTGTCAAGAAATCTCCACTCCGTAAAGCAGGCAAAAAACGCTACATAGATGCAATCATTTTTCGATGCGTATTAACACATCTCATTAAGCATTAGTAAATAACTGGTGAGTAGACAGTTTAAAGAGTCAATAAATATATATATATATATATATATATATATATATATATATATATATATATATATATAATACAATAAAAAAACGCATATTGGTAGTAACTTATCAATCTATGAAACCTTTATAGAAGAGGGTTTGCTGCCCAAATACATACGTATATATATATGTATCTCTCTCTCTCTTTATATATATATATATATATATATATATATATATATATATTTATACGTATATGTATGTAGAGAAAGAGAGAGAGAGAGAGATTTTGGCGTCACCATTTTGAAAAACTTTTTTTGAAGAATATATATATATTAATTATATATTATATATGCGCGGTACTTATTTGAAAGCGCTCGATATCAGTGATAGAGTTAACATATTTAGTTGAATTTATGTGAGTTTTTGACCCTGGGTTTCACGCTATTTGCGACCGTCAGACAAATCGCAAAATCATAAACTCACATCAATCCAATAAAATATATATATATATATATATATATATATATATATATATATATATATATATATATATATATATATATATATTCTAGACAAGAGACTATTATTAGATTACATCAATCTGTAATAATCGTATACCAGCTATTATTCGTATCGTATTCGTTCTTCTTAAGAGACCTACAATTTTCTCGTGGCAAGATGACTGTTTTATCATTTTAAATAATTAATATAGTCTGCTTGTTATATCCGATCTGTGTTCCGTTTACAAATACAAAAACATCACTGATTATGCAGCCAATGACAACTCAACGAATCTTAATCCAGACAAAATTACGAGCAAGTATTTTAATTCAACGATTGGCCGACTAGATCAAGTATTTAGTTCACATATTGATCTAACAGCTTAAAAGTTTATAACAGTCGATGATGCTGTAGCGATATAAGAGATCAATATTTATAGTTTAAAAGTATATTATTTCAATATTATTAAATGACCACCGTTAGACCTTCAAATCAGATAATCTGGCATGGTTTTGAAAACAAGGATATTGAAAAAGGGGGATCGCTTTCCTGTTGTCATCTAGTACAGTATTTCGCTCCTTATAAGACGCTCCGATGTATAAGATTCCGTCCCCGCCCCACCCTAATTTTGAAGAAAATCAGACGAATCATGGCAGATTTATGACAGGTTGGGAAGAATTATCAAATGTATGGTAACTAATTATAATTTAATAATTAGAAATGTACATCTTTTTCTAGGGAGGATCTCGGTGTACATATTGTTACGTCATTTTCAGTGACTTTAAACAAAAAGGGCAGTTTCAGGTGTTGGCGGGCAACTGTATTTCCTCGGCTATATTCGGAAACTTTTGGTACCGTAAGTAAGGTTACTTAAATCAAGCGAAAATACCTAGAATGTGCTCGCGAAATCGTATTATACAGTAGTATTATTGTTAAAGTGTCTACCATAAATAATGCCGTTTTGTGACCAGTAGTTTCAGAAATAAGGAAGGTGTTAGTTAAGCGGGTGTTACTGTAGCAGAAATTTCATTTCTTTTCAGTATCTCAACAACGTAAATAACTTCTCTCAAAACGTTGTTAATTTAATTTTGAAAAACTGGACTTGTTTTATTTTCGAGGTCAGAGAATCGGATGTAACTGAAGAACTGACACTCACACTGCACCCCAAACTTATAACCGACCTTCGATTTAGGTGATGATTTAGGTGATAGTCTGTAGG